TAGCTCAGAGTTAAGAAAAAAATTCAAAGTATTAAACTGTGCATGCTTTAGCCTGCTTGTTATTAAAGTCTTACCTGTGTTCAAAGTTCCACTTAAACTATTCCAATTCAGGTATTTGATGTGTTTAGTGGGACTAAATGACCTTGGGTGAACCCAAGTGATTAACTGGTGACTATACTGGTGACTATTCAGGAGTGGTCATCTGTTTGGAACCCGGAAGAGATATTCATGCAAACGGCACCTTGATTAGGGCGCATCATGTTGACAAGTCCCAGTCCCTAACTGTTCTCTGCTAGTCCCTACAGAGGGGTATAGGAGGTGGGGGAATTCTGGAAAGGTTTCAACCATCCTACAAACTCAGCATCAAAGCTTATTATTTCATCTCATTAGTTAGCAGGAGGCCACACTGGAGAAAAACCTGAATAGGAAAGTCCTGAGTCTGCTCATTTTTCACAGAGGCTGTGTGGAGCTGAGAGAAGTGAGGCAAGAGCCACATAATCTCAGGGTTCGAAGGCCATGAATCTCAGCATGTCCTTAGAGCAGTTCTTCCTAGAGCCGTGTGGGTGCTGCACAGGGGTTGACCAGTTGGCTGGAGGTGCTGACTCTGGAATTCAGTGGGGCTGGCTGCTCTCCTGAGCAACTGGGTAACCCTGACTGTGATTATGGGTTACTTACTAGCTTCATTGGGCAGCTGTGGTAAGATGATTCTCAATCTCTCCTTCTCTCTCTCTTTCTCTCTCTCTCTCTCTTTCTCTCTCTCTCTCTCTCTCACACACACACACACACAAACACACACACACAAACACACTCAAAAGTTTCATACACTTTTTAAGTATAGAATGCTATAGGGTGACAGTGACTCCATGCAGCAGCTAGAAGACAGCCAGATGGTTCACTTTGGCCCCCTGTTGTGGGTCACTCTGTATTGCCAATGAACATTTTTTATTTTCTAGATATATTTGTGTTTAGATGGGTCTGATGGTAAATCTAACTCATCAGTAAATCCTCTCATGTCTACCTTCAAATTAAATCCAGAATCAATGCAGTTGGTACATTCTCTCTTAAAGGTCTTACCAACCACACACACAAACCTTTGCTTTGCCTGGGAGAGTCATGTATTGAGATATATATATTGAGTTTCTAGGGGAGCTATAAGTGTATTTGAATAGTAGGTTTCTAGTCTCTTGGTCTTAAATGAGTTAACTCCTATAAATCTCTTTGCACAAGGCCTGTCAGAGGGTGCTTTAATAAATGTAACCTCTTATTATTACTCTCTGCTGAAGCATGGTGTAAGAAATGGGCCATGGGAAGAGGCGTTCAGCCACTGTACTGCTCTGGGATGGTGATACGGCTACACATTACTGAACACCTGAGTGTCAGGTACTAGACTCAGTGCTCTTGTGTATATTTCCGTATGTTTTTAAACCTTTACAGCAACCCTCTGAGGAATTACTTTCCTCATAATACAGCCAGGAACACCGAGGCTCTGGAGAGTTAAGTATCTGGACCTCAGTCACATACCTGGGCCATGGTAGCGTCTGGTTAAAACCAGGACTGTCAGATTCCAAAACTTTCCATGAAGTTCTTTTGTCCCTGACAAAAGGAAATCAGGTCAAGATTTTTTGGATTTGGGAGGTAAAAGTTTCTATCTTACTATATTAAAACATTTCTTATATCAAATAAATACAGTTAGCATCAAGGCCTTGTCTGTTACATTCAGATAACATCCAGAAATTTAAGGTTGAAAGATGTATTAATTCAACATGAAAACAGAAATTCCTCCTCAGTTCCTTTTGATCATCAAAAACAAACAGGCTGTTTTTGATCCAGTGCCTCACTTATGTTTCAGAAGCAAATGGTTGAAAACATGCTGATGTCGCCCACCTCTTAAAAATGGCATTTCAGAGAGACAGTGAAAAATATTTTGCTGATAAAAAACAGGAAAATCTAATAAAATAAGAAAGTCATACCTAATCTGACCTCCCAGCTACAGCTACTGTTATTTTTCTGTTTTATTTTTTTCATATAATCATAATCAGACTATAGACCCAACTTTGATTCCAGATCTTTAAAATATATAATAGGCATTTCCCCAGACGTTCACTATTCATAGAAAAAAAATTTTACAGCCTCTGAATCAAGGGTTGA